TAGGTCTTTTAAATGAGGGTAAATCAAAGATCAGAAAAGGAGGCAGCAAAGGAAAAAAGGCATGCTTGCCCCAAGCTCTTACATGAACCTGGGGCCCTCTAGTGGCTGAACTCTGAGACTGCAAAGTAAGAACCTCCAGTCTGGCTGGGTGGATGGTGGGATTCACAGGGAACACAGGGGGCCCTCGCCGGGGCCTTAGAAGGCAGGAGTCGTAGGCTCATCAGAGGAACGGGCGGCCTCTTCAATATTCCTGGAGTTCAATACATCCTTACGCTCCATCAACATCCCAGTGGAAGGTTGGATCTTTTGCCTTTTTTAGTCATCTTCTCCACCCCAAAGTGAAAGCACAGATGCAGCTGTTTCAGTAACTGTGGAAATAAGATTTCTAAAAGCCTAATCTATTTTTAAAGAGGTATCAAAGATTTTATCCTTAAGCAACACAAAATGTATCTGATTTACCATGGTTTTCAAAGAAGTCCCCTATTAGGGACAACTTAAACCCAATACTTTTTCCACCTGATGCGAAGAGCTGACTCATTTGAAAAGACCCTGATCCTGGGAAAGATTGAGGGCAGGAGGAAAGGGGATGACAGAGGATGAGATGGTTGGATGGCATCACCGACTCAATGGCATGGGTTTGGGTAGCCTCTGGGAGATGGTGATGAACAGGGAGGCCTGGCGTGCTGCAGTTCATGGGGTAGCAAAGAGTCAGACACGACTGAGTGACTGAACTGAACTGAAACCCAAACCATGTAGGCTGTTATGAAACAGTCATGCTATATTAATTTGTTGGGCAAAGCAAAATATATCCTCAACTTTAGGCTAGTTATGATCCAAACTTGACATTCTACATGTCAGAAAGATGAAGAAAGAAAAGGGACTTACAGATATGCTTTCTTGAGCAACACATATGTTGTAAAAAAGAGGAATGTATGGAGGATTTCCTCTAATTTCTCAGTTGCCAAGCTTTTCTAAGTCTTAGTTTGCATCTATGAAACAGGGATATATTGGCTCCTTTGAAGGGCCATCTTCAGCACTCTGTGATGTCACACGAGAGAAACACAAGAGGCACCTCTGTGGTCCTCGGGAGAGAGGACTTAAGATGCTCAAGTCCTGGGTTTCTCTGGGTGCTGTGTGGTAAAGAATCTGCCTGCCAATGCAGGAGACACAGGTTTGATCCCTGATCCAGAAAGATCCCACGTGCCACAGAGCAACTAAGCCTGTGTGCCACAACTACCGAGCCTGTGCTCTAGAGCCCAGGAGCTGCAACTACTGAGCCCACGTGCCTCAACTACCGAAGCCCGCGCGCCCTAAAGCCCATGCTTTGCAACAAGAGAAGCCATCACAATGAGAAGTCTGTGCACTCCAACCAGAGAGCAGGCCGTGCTTACTGCAACTAGATAAAAGCCCATGCTGCAAAGACGACTCAGCATAGTAAAAACTAAATAAATAAAATTATTAAGAGAAAAAATAAAAAGTCAATTCCAAGCAAATCTCTGAGTCCAGAGTATTTGCCAGTCCATACTGCCAGCTTTAAAGAAACAAAAACAAAAACAAATGATGCTCAAGTCCTGAGCAGGAAAGAGACAGACCCACAAGATCAAGGAAGACTGAACTACATCCTCAGGCTGTAGTTGTTTAGAAGAAATGATGAAGGAAACTAGCAAAGTCCAAAGTCTGATCTCTACTTCTTTAGAGTCTGAACCACAAAAGTGAAATTCGAAACAAGTGATGCCAGGAACACATGAACTGAGAAAATTAGTACAGGAGGAGGATGGATTCTTCCTAGCATTATTGTCTAGTTAGAATTTGTCCTCCAGAGACAACGTTTGCTGCTAAAACATTCATCTAAACACATAGCAGCCTTGCCTCAAGTACACAGGGAAAGAGACTAAGACCAGCCCCTGGGGGTTGGCCCTATTCACCACGTGGCCCCAGGCAGGGCCCCCGGAATTCAACCTCTCCTATGGTGAAGCAGGCGATTGGAGGAATTAGAATAAGGTTTAAAAGGTCTATTTTATATGTCACCTCAAAAAAAGCAAAGCCCAAATAAATATGATATGAGGAGCATTCTTAAATGGTCAAGCTTCATAATTTTATAACAGGAAGAAGGACTAACGTCCCCCCACTTCTTGGGGAAAAGCTACTGTGTGGATCGTAAAGAAATATGTCACTCTGCTATTTCAGCAAAGTGTAAATAAAAGTACCACTGAGGTAAGGGGGAAAGATCTCTGGCCACATATTTTCATCTTGGCATAGTCTATTACCAACATAGATGCTAAATCAAGTGTCCCTCTTTCCTTCTTAAATGTACAGCTTGTCAAGTAAACTGAACAGCTGAATATTTAAAAAGCGTTCTCACGATCATGGTTCTGGACAGACTGTGGCCGGGAGCCCCTTGGGTCTGTGGGAAGGACTGTCTCCTGCCGGCCAGAATGTCTGTGTGGACACAGCTGGTTTTCATCCCCCTTCTGGGTAGCTCAGAGGAGGCTTACAGCCACCCTCCAACTCCTCAGACATCCACAAAGCCTGGGTTAGGAAGCTGCATCTTTATAGCATCTCACTTTTTTTTTTAAATTAGAATTTTACAGTAGAATTAAAACTGCTTTCAGAAAGAAAGAAACTAAAATTTGCTAAACACAGGCAAGTGAGCCAAGAATGGTTGCATAGCAGTTGGACACAAAACTTCATTAGACATCCTAACAGACAGAATATACCCCCCAAAATGGGAAATCTCTTTCAAAGCCTTTGAGAGAAGGGAGTATATTAGTATTTTCTACTGGAAGTTTATCCCAAGAATGTTTTCTGATGTGTAAAAGATTAGAACTTGTGTATAAGTGATATTTATCATTAATTTCCTTAAATGATACTTCATCCTTTTACCTAATCAGTTATCAATAGTTGGGTCTTTGGAGGGTGCAGAGAAAAGGGAACCCTCCTACACTGTTGATGGGAATGTAAACTGGTGCAGCCACTATGGAGGAGAGTATGGAGGTTCCTCAAAAAACTGATCCAACAGTCCCACTCCTGGGCATATAACTGGAGAAAACACTCAGCCTACAAAAGCCATGCCTCCCAATATTCATAGCAGCACTATTCACAGTACTCAAGACCGAAAAGTCCAACCTAAAAGTACATCAACAGAGGGATGGATAAAGAAGATGTGGTAATATATACAATGGAATACTACTCAGTCATAAAATGGGATGAAATATTGGCATTTGTAGCAACACGGATGGATCTAGAGATTATCATACTAAGTGAAGTAAGTCAGACAGAAAAAAAACACTAGATGATATCGCTTACATGTAGAAGTTAAAAGATAATACAAATGAACTTGTTTATGAAACAGAAACATACTCATAGATATAAAAAACAAACTTAGGGTTACCAAATGGAAAAGCAGGGAGGGTGATAAATTAGGAGTATGAGATTAACATATATACACTACCATATATAAAATGTCAATAGATAGACAACAAGGGCCTACTGTATATAGCACAGGGGACTATAGTCAACATCCCATAATAACCTAAAATGGAAAAGAACCTTCTATGCATATATATAACCAAATCGCTCTGTGGCATACCTGTAACTCACAACAACATTGTAAATCAACTCTACTTCAATAAAGGAATAGTAAGGACTCTGGATCAAGCCCCCTGTGAGCTGGGTTTCCGTGGAGGAGGACTTCATGCCAGAATAGGCCAAACACCTTCTAGTTAGCTCACCCCAACATCCAAGCCTCCTCAGTCTTCTAGGTATTCTGTACTGTGAATTTTATAGACTTCCTGATGCTGGCCATTCTAACTGATGTGAGGTAATACCTCATTGTAGTTTTGACATTTTAATTCCTCTAATAATTAGTGATGTTGGGCATCTTTTCATGTGCCTTTTGGCCATTTGTATGTGTACTTTGGAGAGTTGTCTGTTTACTTCTTCTGCCCATTTCTGGATTGGGTTGTTTCTGATATTAAGCTATGTACTGTGAATTTTAAATAAGCAAAGGCAAAAGAAAATAAGCTTTAGCACTCTCATTAATTTGTTGGTTGAAAAAGTCTCCATCTATCTAACATTTTGTGACTATTATTCCAAGGTTTGACTTGAAAAAAATGAATGAAGAGTTTTCGCTGTGGTTTATTACATTGTCTTAAGTAGTTGGAAATGTACTTAGAGAAATCAGAGTTGCCAGTGCAGTTCAGAGGAAGAAAACTCCTGAAAGGTGGAGGTGCTAAGGGAGGGGGGTGGGGATCCAAGTGGGTGGAGCCATACTTCTGCCAATCAAACTAGGAAATTGAGAAGTTTCTTCACCCAGTCCTCCCGTCACTTACATCTTTTGCTAAAGGCTAACAAGGAAAACACAACCCCAAATATTTAACTCTGATTCTTTGTATCTGCCCTCTTTATCTCCTCTCAACCCTCTATCACTCTTTTGAATGAAATGAGGTTTTGGTATTATTTAATCCTCAGATGCAGTCTTCACAGCTATTACCTAATATGAAATGTCTAAATGCACTTCAGAGGTCATCCATTTTACTTTCTGTAACATAAACAAAACTTTGATTCAAATCCCAAGGATTTGTGTCCTAAATCTGAATTTATCTCCAATCCCTCCACACATATTTTCCATTGATAAGACAGTCACAAGCGGTGGTACATTCAATTTCAAGCCACACAAACCTGAAAGGAAAAGAGCCACTATCTCTGCTCCCATCCCTGGCTGGTCAGAGAATTTAGTATTAAAAAGAAAAGAAGACAGAAGCAGCAACCAAAGAAGCAGGCGAAAGTCTCTGTTTCCTCGTAGAGTTTTGAACCAGCACATCCCAGCATTATCAGTCCAGACACCAGGATGAACGTGGTTAGCTTTCAAACTTCCCCGAAGAACAGCACATTCATGATTTTCTCCCACTGTCTGTTCCTCGGATCTTTGTCTAAAAGCAAGCTTTAAACTACTCATCCCACCCTAACAGAATTCCTTCTCAGTCATGAAATCTCGTTACCTTTCTTTAATGGACATGGTTTTGCTGGGGGAGTCGAGGCTGCCCTCCACCGTCGGGGCTTTGATCTCTCCAGCAGCAAACATCGCACATGGGCTCTGATACCGCTTCTCCTGAGGCTGTTCGGAGGGATCCTGCGGCTTCCAGGACACGGGGGTTGCAGTCGGAGCAGCCGGTTTCCCAGCAGCCGCGCCGGTCTGCTCAGAAGTGGGTTCCCCGAACTCCGCCGCTGGGAAGGAAAGGAGCCCTGTCAGCACTTACTCCCCCAGGCAAACATTCTTCAAGCCCTTCACCCCCGGATGATCCCGCACTTAGAGTTCAATCTGTGGGCACGTGGCAGGTTACCCAATCCACTGGGGTTTATGCAAATCTGGGGCACGGCTCCCATCCCTGAGAAAACCAAACTTCCCAGCGGATGACCCCACCCAGCGACTTGTTCTGTGACAATTGGTCTCCTACGTGCCAGACACAGGAAGTTGGTTTGGACAGCACTGCAGAAATGTCTCTACGCCTCCTAAACAATACTTTGACATTTCACATGTGCAGTACTCCCCAATCAAAGCCACTCTTACAACTGACATGCTATCATTTTATGGAAATGCAGAGAGAGAATTACGGTCCTGTGTAGCATGGCTTGCTAGTCTGCACAAGAAGGATCTAAAAAGAGAACCTGAAACTCCAGAGACTGGGTTCCTGCCCTATTCCCTGTGCTCTGCTCACCCAGCCTGGGACCTTTGAGGTCATCAGCTTAATTTTTCTTATTTTTATATTTTTAATTTATTTATTTTTATTTTTTTGGTCATGCTGCAAGGCACGTGGGATCTTAGTTCCTTAATCAGGGGTTGAACCTGTGACCCCTACATTGGAAGCTCAGAGACTTAAACATTGGATTGCCAGAAAAGTCTTGTGAGGTCATCAATTTCTAAAAGAGAGTCAAAAGAGCTAGCAGTTCAGTTAACATGACCAAAGCCATCCAAAACCCTGATGAAGATGTATTAAAACATGTCAGGTACTTTTATGGCAGATATATTAATGAGTCCTCTGAACAGGTCAAGTTCAAGAGGAGGAAAAGTCCGGGGAGGGTACCATTCACACCAGACTTTCAATCAACACTCAGCTGTCAACTGCCTTCACAATTCAGTTAAAAACAATCCCAAACACATGCGACCCATCCAGCAGAAAGGAAAGAGCAGTAGTGTTACCTTTCAGCGAAAACTTCCTCTTTGTGACATTCTCCAAGTCCACCTTCTCTTCAAAGAGCTGCCTCTCCTTCCAGTCCGGGCTCACCTGCATGGTGCTCTTTGGGGTGGAAAATTCCTTCAGCTCATCACCAAGCTGGGTGATGGGAGGATAGGCAAGCTCCAGGCTTCCTTTCCTCGGAAGGGCATAGATGGGTTCTTTATGGCTGTCTCCCTCTCGGACTCTGCTGAGGACAGGGTAAGACAGCTCTGCTTCCTCAAAGGACGCGTACTTTGTAACCCCGCCATCTCCACCTGTCAAGCCTCCCTTGCATTCTGTCTCTTCATATTCTCTCAACATTGCTTTGCTCCCAGCACCCTCAACCGAGGGCTGCCAGCCTTGGGATTTCAGGATGCTTCTAACTGGGGAGTTGGAGTTTTCTAGCGAAGAAGCAAACTTTTGCTCGGTGGCACCGAAGCTGTCATCCGGAAGTGGCTTTGTCCGAAGATTCCCTGCGTACATAGGGGGGACGGTAGATGCTGCGGTGGACACGGATGTGTTAACGGTGGGAGAGAAGGCCATGAGCTTGCCACTCTGCACCTGGGAGGACACAGTTCAAAAATAAAAGCTGGTTTAAAAACACCGCCTGGGTAAATCCCCGTGGAAGGACTGACATGGACGGAGACACTACATTTGGGGCAATTTTCCTGCTTCTGTTGGTGAGAAACCAAACCTAGATGTAGTTGCACAAATGGGTCTCGTTAATCCAATCATCTGGGTGAAAGGCAGGTCGTGCATCCTGTTTTTCTCCCCTTGATGGACTCAACTTCAGATGATTTCAGCCATGATGTGAACAAGAGAAGAGAAACATCCTTGGCACGGTTATTCTCCTTAAGAATGAAGTTATGACCAAGTAGCGACAGGTAACACAGAGTACAGGCAGAGCCCCTTAATCGTGTCATTAACCCCCATGGGACAGCATGCTCCCATATTTTCAGGATATGCATGCAACCTTGAAGCTGGATCGCAGGGCACCCACCTGTTCCACCTCTCCAAGCGTGACCGGCTGGGTTTGATAACGAGCATTCATCCTCCTCTGTCTCACATCTAATCTGTTCCGCGTTGAAATGGCTTTTGAGACCGGCTGGGACAGTTTGTTAAACAAGGCCAGCTTCTCCGCTAAGCTCAGAGTGGAGGAGTCGGGTTCTCCCTGCTCAGCAGAGTCTTTGCCCTCATTTGTCTGGTCTCTGGCTAATGCCTTTTGGTGAGCAGACGCCTGCAATCTGAAAGGGGGGAGACGTCAGCCCCACACAGGGAGAGAAACAGAAGCCCACTGCTAAGTCTGTCTGTTAACTTTCTTCAAAGTGTCACTGGAAAAGGGGCTTATTTTCCCCTATCTAGATTCAAGACAGGCATGGGCAGTTGGTCAGCTATTAATAAGACAGTGAACACTCTAGGCTGAAGACCCTTGCATGGTCAATGTCACACAGATTTTCAGCTCTGGATTATTTCTAAACATTGAGTTTCCTAATTACAGAATTAAATAAATTAAGGCTTAGGTATACCTTATCTTAGAGAGAGGAGCTGTATTGTTAGTATCAACAATAAATACAGCTAGGAGGAGTCCTCAGACCTTGCTTGCGGCTTATTTGCTGCTGCTGCTGCTAAGTCACTTCAGCCGTGTCCGACTCTGTGCGACCCCACAGACGGCAGCCCACCAGGCTCCTCTGTCTCTGGGATTCTCCAGGCAAGAATACTGGAGTGGGTTGCCATTTCCTTCTCCAATGCATGCATGCATGCTAAGTCGCTTCAGTCGTGTCCGACTCTGTGTGACCCCATGGACAGCAGCCCACCAGGCTCCTCTGTCCACAGGATTCTCCAGGCAAGAATACTGGAGTGGTTGCCATTTCCTTCTCCATGCAGCCTATTTAAACATTATCTAAATGTGTGGTTCAGAAGGTGGTCTTTACATTTTTTTTTTTTAATTCTCTTTCTTCTTTAAGTTTTTTTTTTTTCGTGTGGACCATTCTAATGGTTCACAAGGTGGTCTTTACATTTTATTTTTTTAAATTCTCTTTCTTTTTTAAAGTTTTTTTTTTTAATGTGAACCATTCTAAAAGTCTTCATTAAATTTGTTACAATATTGCTTCTGTTGTTTATTTTTCTTTTCCGTGGGGACAGACAGAAACGCATATCTCTTATCTCTCTGGGATCTTAGCTCCCTCACCAGGGATTGAACCTGCACCCTTCTCCATTGGAAGGCAAAGTCTTAACCACTGGACCGCCAGGGAAGTCCCTACATTTTAAACAGTTAGGAAATAATACAGTTATTTGTATCAAAAGCATTAACTATAACACAGGGTTTTGATGTTCACTTACTACACACAAATAGTTTCACTGTAAAGATCATTCTCCTTTTTTAACCTAGGATTTTCTCTCATAGGTTTCCATCTATTTCCTAAAAGGTACTAAAAATCTGAAATTCCTGGTAACTTGAAAGGTAAAGGATATTTTGGTGCTGATAAATCCTTCCAAGAGGAGAAGCTTCCAGTTACCTGGTCACGTGAATCTCGGGAGGTCTAAGACAATGTACCTTCTGCCACAGGCACATCCAATTCTCAAGTCCAGAAGAATATATTCTGCCTTGACTCCGATTAACTAGTGCTTTACAAGTTGTCCCAGACAAGAGAGGGGAGTCAGTTTTCCAAGGCACAGTGAGGTGGGAGTAAGGGGACCTGAGTCTTGGCATCTTTTCTGAGGTCCAGAGAAGAACTGGGCTTTCCAGGTGGCTCTCGTTGTAAAGACACCAATTCAGGAGACGCAAGAGATGTGGGTCCAATCCCTGGGTGGGGAAGATCCCCTGGAGATGGAAATGGCAGCCCACTCCAGTATTCTTGCCTGGAAAATTCCATGGAGAGAGGAGCCTGGTGGGCTACAGTCCATGGGGTCACAAAGAGTCGGACCTAACTGAGCACAGAGAAGAACTAGGTGTGCGAGAAACCTGCTTCCCCAGAGAGAGCCCGCATCTGGACAATGCCAGCTTTCTTTCTGGACTGTCATCTTACTTGTTTTAATCTTGCTTTAGCCTTTGTATTTTGGCCTGTAACAGTGAAATAGAGGGGATATTTACCTGCCTTAAGGACATCACTTTAAAACACCACAACTTAAAACATAATGGTAAAGCATTTAAGTTCAGACACTAGAAATTGTTATTGTCTGGATCCTCAAATATAACGGCATTATCTATCCATTAAAAAACAGGTAAGGTTGTTCTTAAGCATGTATTCATGTCTAGGAGTGTTTAAGTATGTTAAGACTTTCAACATTCAGGTTAACATCCTATTTTTCTGTTAATCTTTATTAAGTGCTAGTATTTTAGATGAAAAATGAAATTTTTTAGGGATGACCAGGGTTATGTAAAACAGAAACAAAACAAATGGATGAGTGGGTTAGTTGGGGTTGAGTTCCAGGACAGAGAGAAAGCAGGTGGATGAAATGCCGGCATATGCAGGCCTACGTGAAGTCCCCCGGTGTGAGACGGCAAGATGCCACACGCTTCGCTGGGACAACTCCTTGCGCTGACTCGTTTGTCAGACAAACGACAGACATTCAAGATCAGAAGATGCACCTCTGCTCTCAGTGCGACATGCAGCAACTTCTGTCCAGTACCTGGCAGGCTGCACGGGACTCTTAGCTACAGTGGGGCTAGGATGTCTTGTCATTACAGGGTGGGTGGCCACTGAGCACGAAGCGGGGGTAGGTTCACTTTAAAAGCAATTGCCAAAGGTGGAACATTCATAAGGAGAGAGAAGAAAAGAAGCATTAAGGAGAGTGTAGTTTTCAATTCAGAAACATTACGTCAAAACATACTGGAACAAAATCGTTCGCTTGTTTCGTTGGGAAAATCATAAAAGAACTTGAAAAGCAATTACAAACCGAGGAAATAAGAGACAGAGACGACCCAAAGTCAGTGGAACAGGAACAGATTTTTTCGAGCTTGGAAAGGATTTAGAATATTTAGAATAAATGTCCCAGTTTAAAAAAAAATTAAAAAGAAGCTAATGTTAACCACCAGCAAAGCAGTAGATTATGTCTCTGTTTTACAAAGTTGTCCTAAGCTCTTTTTTAGAAAAACCATGGTCCTCATATCATCTATAAGCACATCAAAGTACATTCAGGGAGTCTGACAAGTGGATAATTTTTGCTTATATTTACTGTCTTGCTCCTAGGGTTAGTTGTTTCTTATTTTACAATAACCAAATATTAATTTTTTTTTTATTTGCCAAGAGTTCCCAGTGAATATAAGATGTACTTATCCACAAACAGGAAGTTCAGGTGGCTGAGTTAATAGCAGCTTCTCATGTGGGTTGTTGATGCTCTAAATGATTATGAACTTCATTTTTTTCAGGAAGGGTGTGTGCATTCGTGTGTCCAGCAGGAGAAACTATTTTTAAAAAAACTAACAAAAGTTTTCACTTAATGGAAGCAATGATCCCTGGATGAATTACTTTGGGAAATTCATACTGAATGCATAGGAACACACTGCTGAAAACCTACTTCCCACTGTTTGGAGACTTCCACTGAATTAAAAAAAAGATAGAAGTCATGATAATTTAAAAACCAAGAGACTCTTTCTGTATCTTTAGTCTGTTTTGAGATACAGACTAAAATATTTATGGAGAAAATGATATATGGGGTTTGCTTGAAAATACTACAGCAGGAAACAGGTAGAGTGAAATGAGATGGGCTTGGGGTTTTTGGCTCTTGGGATTGGGTGATGAGGACATGGGTGCTCAGGACATTAACCCATCTACTCTCGTATTTTAAATTTTCCATTGTAAAGGGATTAAAAAAGAAACCAGGCAAAAAAAATAAAAAGAAAATTCCCCTTCATGTTCTTCTAGGAGACATACAATAGGCAACACACCCCTTTACAAGGTTCAGGGACACCAGATACCCAAACACCTACTTTTTGGTGGCTTCTAACTGAACCATCTTCTGATCACCTCATTTTAAAGGTCTTTAAATTTCTCTTCACAAAGAAGGCCTTCCAGTCAAGGCCCAGAGGCCCCGGGGGGACTTACGTGGCTGCAATGACCACCTCTTCGGTGGTGACGGGCTGCGTGTGGGACCGGTCCTGTAGGCGCCGCAGCCTCTGCTCCACAGCCGCGTTGCGGGAGCGGCGCTTCGGGACGCTCTTCTCATCAAACGATTTCTCCATCTCCTAAGATGGGAAACAGTGTGGAAGCCTGAACAACTGGAGGAAAGGGAGCTGGGGCAGCAGAATGTGGCTACTCTGCAGACACTGCAGGGTCTAAGGAGGCCCCCCGCCCTGCCCCCCACCCCCCCAGGAGGCAGCACCGTCATCAGCAGCAGGTACATCAGCCACATCGGAGGAGAGATCACACCGGAGCCCAGAGCCAGAGCAGCCGTGGGGCCGCCTGCAGGAGGCAATGGCTTACTCTGATGACCTTTCAGCACGTCTTACCCTGAAGAGCAGCCTCTTCGCAGCAACGCTCAGCCTCGCTCGCTCATCGACCTTTTCTTCATCTGTGAAGAGTCACAAATAAAGACTGAACATCATTAGAAAATGTAGGGAAAGTCTCTGAAAAATTTTCCAAGGCGGACTTGGAAATCTTCTGAATAAAAGAATCAATATGCTAAAGGGGATCATCCCAATCCAGGGATTGAACCCAGGTCTCCCGCATTGCAGGCAGATTCTTTATGGTCTAAACCACTAGGGAAGCCCAAAAATAACAAGAGGCAATATTTTCCTCTGGGTGAGGAAGGCTATTCTTCTGCTCAGTGAAAAGGTACTAATTCCCATGGCAATTCACCAAACAAAATTCTTGTCCAGGCAATAATTTTCTACTATCATATTTGATTTAAGAATAGATATTATGGAATTAAGAAGAGATTTTAAGGAAGGAATTCCTCTTCTTTATTATTAAATAGTAACAAGAAAGTAACAAGAAAAACCTGTTTCTTTGATTCAAATCAATTGATTTAATATGGTTAATATCACGGCTCTCTCTCTCTCAAAACCAAAGGAAAGTTCTTGTGAAAACCTCAATAGGTTTTATTATGTTCACAGGAAGAAAACCTGCTGAAAAGAAAGTAATTGTTCCATAATCTCATTCTTTTCAAAAGCAAAAATCTTATTATCTAAATCTAATCTGGGATGAGATGATTAAGAAGAAAAAGGATACTTGCCCTCGGCAGCTGGCATTTCTGAATTTGAAGTTGACCTAGGAAAGACATGAGTGAAAAAACAATAACAAACAATTAGCTGGTTGGAGTGGAAGATCCAAGGATCACATTAAAAGTGAAAATAAAAATTCAATTAAAGCCTCTTAAAGAACATCCTCCTGGTAGCAACTCTAGTTGTGACTACGCATGGGCAACTATTACAGACACCGTGGGGTATGTGTGCACACAGCCCGGCCAGGTGCTTCACCTTGTGGAGACAAACCAGGACCAAGTAGGACCTATTAAACACAACTGACAATCATCTTTTAGACAAACACTTTCATTTCTCTGTGTTAGCATATGATAAAAACTCACTCACATACAACATGCAGATAGACATTGATAAACTGAATATGAATCCCCTTAGTTATTTTCACCATAAAATCTAGTGGACAATTTGGATTCTAACTTAAGGGCATAAAAATTTAAAAACATTAAATGTTTAATGTTTCTCATTTCTTACCATCTGAATGCAATTTAAAACTGTATGTTGATATTGGCATCATGGTCAACATTCTTTAGACACATTTATACCAGCCAAACAAACATCCCTTAAAGCTTGGATGGAAGAATTATGGAGTCATTACATCCCATTGAAATAGCATCAGAACCATCCTTGGGGTAGAAATTTCCATAGGATTTCTTTTAAGTTCCTAGACCAGGGAACTTGACAGACACATGCCTACCTATCCGATTCCTTTCGTTCTGCCGAGGTTATGGGTTGAGTTCTAAATCTCTCGGAAGTCTTTCTATTTTCACCAGGAGAAAAATAGCGCCTCGGTTTCCGGGACCCTCTCTCCCGTTCCACACCAGGGCCTTCGCTTGACCCCTCAACCCGAGAATGGCTTTTAGAGTTGGTGGGGAGAAGGGACAGAGAGAGAGGGAAGAAAGCAAAGGTTTATGTACCCTGGTGAGTCAAGGCACGGACAGTGCAAATCCCACCACATGCCTCTACCATGCATGTCGGGAGACCCGATACTCTAGAGGCACCTCCCACCGCCCGCCCCAGCCCCGTTAGTAGGCACAAGCAGAATGGTAGTTGTGGAGCCATGTCCTGGATGGTCTGCCCTATACACACTGGTGAGCTAAGCTGGTAAGACTCAAGGCAGTATGCCACACAAGTCGGAAGGTGAATAACTCTGCCAAGGACGTGCAAGTGACACACTGGGGGGACACGTGGACATCACCTACAGCTCGGGTTTCCTGCTGGCCCTGGCTGACTCCAGGAACGCACTGCGGAGCTGGGCGACTGAGACCTTCGTGTCCAGCAGGCCCAGTTCCAGCTCGGCCTTGGAGGTCTGTGACTCGGCATCTCGCTTGGGAGCCGGGGCCTTGGCCTTCAGGGCCTGGAGCTGCGGCGGGCCCGTGCAGTCGGACAGGGAGCGGGTGAGGACCCTGTGTTTCCGCGGGGGTGCCTCCTTCCTGTGACCTTGGGACGCTGCCTCGCTCTGAACGTACATGACCATCTCACTCCTGCCCATCCTCTCGGTGGGCTGCCGCTGAGCCGTAGGCGGGCGGGCCAGGCTCTCTGATTCCTTCTGAGGTTCCGCAGTAACTGTGCCAGCAGCGGGCTGACTCAAATCCCCGGTTCCAGGGGGCGCTTCCTGGCTTCTCCCAGACCCATGATCCTCCAAAACCGCAAGGGTCTTCCTGCTTTTCTCCAGAGCATCAGAGAAGAGCACGTCTTCTGCTTTGGATTCACAAATATGGAGAACTGGGGTGTCTCTTCTTTCACCTTCTAGAACCTTTGGTGGGGGAGGCTTTGTGACAGTCTGGGGGAGCGGGCCCGCCCAGCTGCCCTCGGAGACGCTTTCTGGGGTGTCTGAGGTCACCAGCGTGATGGTGTGGACGGGCTCCGCTGGCTGGACGTAGCCGCGGATGGGCTGTCTTGCAGAGCTGGCCACCTTGCCCGAGACCCTATCGAAGGCCGAGTTCTCTGACTGAAATGCCAGGTAATGGCCTGACGCCGTCTGGTGTCTCCTCTGAGTTAAGGACTCGGAGGCAAGTTCAGGGCTGCTGCGAGCGCTCTCCTCTCGCACCAATTTTTCTCTAACTTTAACTCTTTAAGAAAGAAAAAGGATTTAAGTTGCCAAGTGCCTTAAGGGCTCTGGGGGAAGGGAGCATGTGTGTGCAGACCAGGGATGCCTGGAGACTGGATAAGCATCTTGGGGTCCCACTCTCCTTGCCAGAGGAAGGAGTTTGTGTTGAGTTTACAAACTCGTTCTTCCTTCTGTAAAGCTAGGAGGGGCCAGATGCTATCCTGGGAGAGAATGGATGCCTTCCGACTAAACGAATACTCAGAAGCCCAGGGAAATTCATTACTATGCACCACTGGTATGCACCAGGGTGCACTGAGGCTGGGCTATGAGTGGGTAAGCTTTCCACATGGACAGGCCCAGTCTGTGGACTGGGGTGGAGGTGGTTTCCAGGCATATATAAGCCTAAAGACCAAATGTAATTGCATTGTCTCCTATAAATGTCATAGCATTCATGATGACGGTTATTTTTTTATTGAGCTCAAGATACAGCAAACGATTACCCCTTTTCAAGCATTTAAGAGTCACAAATTTTTCCATGCCATGCAGACAACATTCATTCATTCATTCAGAAAACACATGACCAGTTAAGACATCATCACTTCCAGCAACTCCAGTGCTGACAGAGATGTCAGGAAAAAAAAGATTTTTGTTGAAAGAATGCACTGAACATGTTCTCCCCACTGAAATGGTCATTAGGCCCTCAGTTAAAAACTAATCCAAAAAGGGAGGGCTCTGGTTGTTTCTAGAGCTATTTAAATGGCCGAGAGCAAAACTGAAATTCACTGGAAAAGATACCAACTTTATTACTGTGGAAGCAAAGTAGCCAAGACCTCTGAGGGGCCCAGTAGACCTCTTTTCAAAGGTTCAGTCAGCCAGTTTGAGCTGTGTGGTCTCAGATAACCTACCTGCCTCAGCTGCTTCATCTTTCAAAAGGAAATAATAGTAACAAGATGTAATGTGATGCTTGCAAAGTATGCAGTTTAGCGCTCAGCAAAGGGTAAACATTCAATAGTGCAAACTAGTTGTTTTTACTTTTTTTTTTTTAATACCACACTGTGAGGAAGGACAAACTATTCAAACTGCTTATGAATGGACTGTGGACTGGGGATAATCTTTAAAAATAAAGGATGCTTTTGAAGTGAGAGAAGTGATTTCTTGGGGACTGGGAAACCTTTATTTGCTTAAGATTAGTCAGCAAAAATAATTGCTTGTGATATTCACTTTCTAGAAGGGAATTTTTTCCTTAGATGACAAAGGCATCCTGCTAAATTTGATATAAACACCTACATGTCTTTCAACATAAGATGCAGGATACGTATATTTCATTAAAGAAAAGTCAAAGACACACATAAAAGGCAGTTACTGTGAACCATTCAGGGGGAAGAGAAAAGCATCCTGAGTTGTTATTTTTCCCAGAGACTAGCGACTGTTGGAGGTTCTCATATTTATAAGCTTTGTTAATTTGTTCAAGTTCTCCTGTGGAATGTGTCCTTGTCATCGGAGACAATCTGAATGTTGTCCTCAGCCAAGAACAAAGTGACTGTTAGAAACTCGATATATGGGTGCTTTGTCCTGCCAATGACTTACGCATTCTTACTCCTTCTGTCTCTCTCTGCCCCCAACCTTAAAAATGAAATGAGAGGGGGTTTTGTCTGCTTTGAAATCCAGATGCCCTATAAGTAGCTGTGGAAATTGACAACTGGTTGAGAGACAGGCAACATGGAAAGGAGGAGGCTGGAAGGCCAGGACAGGGGAGCTGATGATAAGATGGGACCCTGGGTGGTTAGCCTGGCTCAAGGTAGCAGTCAAGAGATGCTGGTTATGTGCTCACTACAGCTCCCTCCTGGCAGCATGTGAGTGGTGAGAAAGGACAAAAGCCAGAGGTGGAGTCAAAAGATTTTCCAAAAGAGAAGCAATTAGGGCAGTAGAAGGAGCAAAAGGAATGATTAGAAAGCAACTTCCAGCAGCCCCTTTTTGAACATGTTATTTTCAAAAGCCCTGCCACCAAAAAGAGGGCAAAGGCAAGTTAGTTTCAGTCACGTGCAGGACAGGGACACACTCACTAAACACAAGCTGACAGCTTGGGAGATACCTGGATGGCCAGTTGATAAGTGAAGGTGTGTCCCCTTCGGAATCTTTCTGGAGAAACCACTCATGTTTGGGTTTCCCGGTACTATTTTGTACAAAAAAAAAAAACTTCAGGTAAAGCCTATGAAAACGTCAACACATACACAGACTTCATTATTATCATTTAAAACCCTCAAGGCTGACTTTTCTTAAGTAAGGAATAATGCTGGCTTTTGAAAATGTCTAAGCATGCTTTGCCATGGTGTTTCTATTCAGTGCATGGAATCTCCAAGACATTTGTTTATTACTGATATCAAGATAGAACAAATATCTCTGAAGTCACCAAATAAAGTGTTTGGTGGGATCATTTGGAAATATCAGGAGTCTGCTACAGTCACATTCTGCCTATAAATACCAGACAATTCTCTTGTGAGAGGTTGAATTTAAAAATATAAATTATCATCTGCAAGTTCTGTAAAGGTACACTGGTAAATAGCCAAATATAAAAATAGTGTCCATGTAAAACAATACATATGAAATAAGGGCAATGAATAAAAAGAAATTCCATAAGGCCATATCTTTAATTGCTATTCTACATTTTTCTTTTATATTTATCACTGAATAATGCAATTGATGGTTACCAAATACTAATGGAAGTCCATTTGATAAATGCTTATTGAGTTCTGACTATGTAGAAAGCACTGAGCTGGGGCCTGAGAAGTAGCCAAGGAAAATCAGGCATCATGCCAGCCATCAAAAAACCAACATTGTGCTGGGCAAGATAACATAGGATTGACACATTCATTCTTCAACACGCAATCAAATATAATGCAAGGTTGAATATGAGAAAGTCATAATGCCAAGTTGAAGATATATTACCAAAAAATCAGTGGCAAGGAAAATCTTGCCATCACTATGTAAAGCAAGACATAGGAGGACTACCCAAATCATTGACCTGCGTGCTCTTACAAAACAGAAAAAAAGCATGGGAACTCTACATGCTAGTTAAAATGTTTACCAGCTCAAAATCTTACCAGCCTACCTGTAAGAGTCCTTCAATACCAGACCAGAAACACAGATCAAAGACATTTCCAAAAGAACAAAATAATAATTAAAACAAAATTCTCTTAGTTTCTAAAAATCATTTTAATTTGGGTTTTGTTTCAAACTCCCAGGCAAGAACCTGTTGATCATCACTACTGTGCATTTTGTTGTGACCACTGCAATCTGTCACAATTAGGCATGGATCTCTGTTCTCCAGTCTGTCTCTACCCAAATGTATGACCCCACCTTTCTGTCTCTAGTATTATAGCCACTGAGCCCATGGTAAATAAAAAACTCAGATTATGGAAAGACATTTTTATTTCCAGTGATAAAGGATCGAATTTCTCAGCATTTATTTAAACATAGGAATAGTTCTGCATATTGTCTGCAGTTTAGAAAGGAGGCAATCAATATAGCTTGGGATAGAGAGAGCACAGTGGATATTTGCTTTTGAAAATCACCAGTTAATAACTCATATGCCTATCTCACAGTTATTTTAAGGCCCAGATGCTTTTAAGTACAATAGAATGTATTGCAAACTGTGACATATGACATACAACTTTCTGAATATAATTTTCATTAATCAGAATAAAACTTGGTCAATAGTACCCTAACAAATTATAAGGCCAGTTATAAGATAAACAGGTTCTAGGGATGTAATGTATGACATGGCAAATACAATTAACAGTGCTGTATGATATATATGAGGGCTTCCCTGGTAGCTCAGACAGTAAAGTGTCTGCCTACCATGTGGGAGACCTGGGTTCAATCCCTGGGTCAGGAAGATCCCCTGGAGAAGGAAATGGCAACCCACTCCAGTATCCTTGCCTGGAAAATCCCATGGACTGAGGATCCTGGTAGGCTACAGTCCATGGGGTTGCAAAGAGTCGGACACAACTGAGCGACTTCACTCACTCATGATATATATGAAAGTTGTTAAAAGAGTAAATCCTAAGAGTTCTCATCACAAGCAAAAAAAATTTTTTTCCATACCCTTGATTTTGTATCTATACAAAATGATAGCTATTCACTAAACTCTTTCTCCCTGGACCCGTCCAGCCCCGTAGCTGCATGGCTGGCTGCCTCTCATTACATAGGTCTCTGTTCAACTATTATTAGAGACACTTTCCTAACCATTTCATATCAAAGAGCAACCTCAATCTCTTAAGTTTTTTCTCTTTTTCTTGAAGTATAGATGATTTATCATGTTGGATTAATTTCTGCTGTATGGCAAAGTGACTCAGTTATACACATATGTATTTTCATATTCTTTCCCATTATAGTTTATCATGGGACATTGAATATAGTTCCCTGTGATACACAGTAGGAGCTGGCTGTTGACTCATTCTCGACATATAGTAGTTGGTATCTGTTAACTCCAAGCTCCTGGGTCTTCTCTTCCCTTCCTTCTCCTTGGCAACCACAAGTCTGTTCTCCACGTCCGCGCCAATCTCTTCTGTTTGATTAGAAGCATGCCTTGGGTCCTAAAATGATGAAGGACAGCACTGGGACTTCCCTGGTGGTCCAGTGGTTAAGAATCAGCCTTGCAATGCAAGGAACTAAGATCCCATAAGCCATGGAGCAACTAAACCCATGTGCCGTAACTGCTGAGCCTCTGTGCTCTGGGGCCCTCACGACACAACCAGAGAGCCCCTGTGCTGCAAAAGAAAGATTCTGAACGAGGCAATGAAGATACCAAGTGCCACAGCTAAGACCTGACACAACCGGAAAAAAAAAAATGTGCAGCACTGATCCGGCAAATTCATGGGCACCCGGAAGAGTGGAACATAATGGAAGTTAGGGACCAAGCTTCCCATCATGGAACCCCGCGGGGTGCCCAAGAGAGGCCCAGACTCAGATGAGAAGATACATCATTTCATGAAAGTACAAAATGTATTTCTGGAGCCCAGCAGGTACTGTTTTTTAAAGATGTAGTAACAGTAGGTGAGCATTTTAAAAGATGAAAAAAATAAAGAGATCACATCTGGATAGTGGCAATAAAACCCTGGGTTCTTTCGTATTTTTTAAATCTTGCATGAATAATGTTGTTTTATGTCCCTTAACATTATGCTTAACTATTTCTAATAATTAAGACTTGGTTAAAAAAATTAACAGTGGGAAGGATTAGTTTCATATGAACATAATGAGTTCAATAGATGATACTACCAGCCTATGAGAGCTAAGTGAGGCCCTTGCAAAGTCGAGAATCAATGTTGGTGGCCAGAGATACAGCAGTGATGGAAACCTTTTCTCTCTTGACCGGGGGAATGATTATACATTTCCCCAAACTCACTGGCCTGTGTCCTTAAAATACTATGTGCATCTTGATGTAAATTATATTTTATTTTAAACATATATCACTGCTGGGACAGACTAGACTTGTGGTTGCCAACAGGGAGGTGGGGGAGGGAAGGATTGGGAGTTTGGCATCAGCAAAAGCAAACTATTATATATAGAGAGTGGATAAACAACAAGGTCCTACTATACAGCACAGTGAACTATATTCAATATCCTGAGATAAACCATAATGAAAGAGAATATGAAGAAGAATGTATATATACATATATGTGTGTGTGTGTGTATAACTAAATCACTGTTATACAGCAGAAATTAACACAACATTATAAATCAACTCTACTTCAATAAAATTTTTTAAGAAGCCTCACTGTTGGATCATGGAGTGAAGACTTCCTGAGTAATCGAAAGGTAGAAACAGAGTCTTTTGGGGTCAGGAGCAAGATAAACATGTGAGATAACCACTTTCTCCTAGTTTCCCTCAGGGCTAATCTCAGTGCGGAAGGCCTAAATGCTGCAGGGTTGGCTGAAAAAGAGCGAAAGGTATATGCAGATGGACCGGAGTGTCAGAGGGAGCGGCTGAGTCTGAGGAAGGGACTGGCGGGATCTTTCAAGGGGATCAAGCTTCCCCTTTCCAGATGGATATGGGTTTCCGTGTCTCCTACCTGACTTCTGATGAAGTAACCAAAAAAGTAAGGTAGGAACTCGACTGCCTTGGTTATGGGACCAGCCTAGAATCAGCCTTTTGGGGCTTCAGACTGAGTTCGCAAGGCCCCCAGAGCAGTCAGTGACTCTGTGGTTCATGTTTCACAATCCCCACTCACAGCTGAATGGTATTTACAAGCACATGGACTCAAGACCATGTAGGATTCCAAGCCCAGACAAAGTGGAAAGAGCCCTGAAGTATAAACAAGGGCTGCTCCAAGCATACTCTGCTGATTGGGGTCACTGGTCCACAGTGAGATAAAAGGCTAGGACCAGAATGTAAATGATGGTCTCTGAGCCTGCTGTGTAGTTCAGTGATCCCTTCTTCCCATCACAACTTTCTTGAAGAAGGAAATGACCCATGGCCTACATTCCTTGCAAATCCCTTATACGTTGGGGGCTGATCCAGAGTTTGCAGATTGGCTATTTCAAGCAGCACTGCTATCGTTTCTTGACACTTCATGAAGACATGGAAAACAGCAGAACATTCACTCAGAAATAACTGATGGAGCCCCGTGGTATGTGTTAGATGCTGGGAAGGAGCTGGGAAAATGACTGAGATGTGGTATCTATTCTTCCTGCAAGACTTCTACAAAAGTAATGCTATCACTGAGATCATCCTTACCAATCTTATGGATTGGCTTAATATCAGATTCATCACACCATATTTGGGGAAATCCTGACAAAAGTGCTAACATCCTTATCTGGGTGTGTCAGCTTTGTTGTAGGATACTGGGCATCTAGATGTCCCTCTTCCTGAGACATGAAGCACTTGGGAAGCTGCATTTGTGAGACACCTCATTTGGTACATGAGGTCTTTCTTCCCTTTCCCCCTTTCGGCAGAAACATCATCAACTAGAAGTCAAACAGACAAACTTAGGGCTCCCTGTGGCAAGTCAGGTTTCAGCTTTATAACCATAATGGGAAAAGGACAATCTGATAAAGAGAACGGACTGCTTTGGGAGTCCAGCGGCACAGAATGTATAAGAGACTCAAAAATGACTCTGGTTTCTATTAAGACAGGGAGAAGGTTATACAAACTTGGAAAGGGCAGGTGTGAAG